TGTTCTGAACACATCAGGAATCCAACTACAAAGAATAGCTGAGGCACAACTAGTTCCATCCAGGAAAGAGTTGAGATGGGATGTTTTATATTTTATAACGAAGACAATGTCCAATGCCTGCAAGCTGAAGCTGAGTACATTCAGCGTTAAAATAAGCAGCAGCTTCCCATCTTTGTGGAAGACCTAAACACTGAAAGAACAGGGAAGTCTTTAAAATGGGATCTTTCTGAAAGGCAAGATTTCATCTGCATCCAGGAGAAAAAGTCCTTTGCAAGCACAGGATCATGTCAGCCTTGCTGCATCCCAGGAGCAGAGATGTGCGCAGCAGCAGATTTCTTTCCATGAAAGAAACCAAGAGTCACTAGAAACCCTCTGAACAGGTCAAAAAGAGAGGTAAAATGAGTAAGGAAAGGACTGAGATCTCCTGAGCTCAGAGTCTCCAATCATCTCACACGTTTTCTCTGGGAAATTGGGATGATCACAATGCAAAGCCTCCCGTATGAGCTTGGTCTCACCACACTGGCAGAAGAAAGCTTGGTGCACCCAGCCCTGCCCCACAGCAGCATGTCTCCCTGGGGAAGCTGAGTCTTTGGAAATCACTGTAACTTCAAAACATGGTGGATGATGATAACCTCAGTCCACAGCCAGGAGGAACTGCAACACTTTTTTTAATGGAAGCAGAATTAGATCAACTCCAGCTACTAGGGATAATCTTTCCTAATAGCTGTTATTAGAATACAAATCTCTATGGCACCAGCCACCAGCACATTGTTAACCATTTCTGCAGAGAAGTTAATTAAAATTACAAAAGTCCTGCAAGGCAGGAAGCATTCTTTCCTCGCAGTAGAGAACAGTAAGTGCAGAGGCGAGAGTTAAAAGGACTTGCCCTTGGTCCCTCGAGCAGCTCGGCAAACCAGCACATTCTCAGCTCCATCCCCTGCCTCAGAGAGGACCCAGCCCCGTGCATTGTCCTCAGGGCCAGGCTAGGGAAATAGAGGACACGTTATTAAAAAGAGAAGAATAGCTCCTACCTAATAGCAACTCCCATGCATTTTTAAGTGACTGGGGGTTCAGGTGTGACACTGAAGCAATAAAGGTGGGAGGGGACATAAAAAAACCCACTACAACCCTAAGGTGGTGAGGATTAGCCAATTATACATTCAGGAAGCTGTGTTAATTAGAAGCTTTTCAGGAGAAACGTCAAAGGACTTTGGAAACACAGGAGGAAACCGATTTTTAACAAGCAGTTTTAAGTCCCCGTGTTGGAGAGGAGTCAGCAGTGCAATGTCCTCTGCTGGCATCTCCAGTTACTGCGGGGAATCGCTCCAGCCGAGGCTGTGCTACACCAGCAGCCACCCGTCACCAACCGAGTGCAAGCCAGCGATTAGTCCGAGTGATTTTTTGGGGAATATTGTCATATTAAAATGAGTAATCATGTAGCCGGGACTGGTGCAGGATTATTCCCTACATAATAGTCATAGCTCTTTGTGAGAGCCCAAAAGCACCTGGGTCATCTGATGGCTCAGAAGTGGCTCAGCGTCAGTGGCTCAGGGAGGAGGAATTGATTTTTCTGTTTTCTTAATGACAATGTGTAATGCAGCAGGTTTATGCACTAGTCAACAGAGACCTGGGCTGTTCAAGAGGATTTGATAATAGCTCACATCTGAAACAGTTTATTTTTCCCAGGCAGAGGGAAGTGCAAATCAGAGAGTGGAACAAGTCACAATTAATTTACTTGTTCTTTATATCTGGTTATGGTCATCTCCTTTCTTGCTTAAGTCAGGCAAGCTCAGAACATGGGTGTGAATTTGTTTACGAGCGTCAAAATTGGTTCTTTTAAGCGTTACATATGCCTTCTTAAGAAGGGCACATGAAAACCATTTATTTTTTTTATAATTCTGAACAGACTGACCAGAGCTGTTTTAGCCTATTCCCAAATCAACACTAACTTTGAGGTAATTCTTGAGGTTTATTGCACTAATCAAGAAAACCAGGTCACATAAAAAGAGCCCATATTACGTGTGCAGGCAAAAGTTCCTTCTCAGCAGAGACTTGTTCACTCTGTGCTTGTGCTAGACCATTATTTCCACTTCCCTGAGATGCACTTTGTGAGGAATACTACAGGGAGCAGACACCAGTTTTGGTGAATCATAGTGCACGGGGCTGTGAGTTGGAAACAAGGACCACAAACACCAAGATGTGGCAGATTTAATATTCCCCTCACACCCCCCCTCATCTTGAACAAGCGTGGAACATGGAGAGAAGTGTTGCTAAGAAACATCAGAGGGAAAAGGCTGCCCAGTGACCACAGGCACAAGTGATGGAGTCCCAGAGCCCAAAAAGTACTGACCACCTGCCAATGCCCCAGCCCATCCTTGCCAGCAGCTTGTTCACGTAGTGACAGACAATAAGTGGACACGATTTTTGACACAATAAACCTCAGAGACCTGATCAGGAGCTTCCAGACTCCCCTGGAGCACAAGCACAACTGCTCTGAGTAATAAACCTTGCAAAGGCCAGGTCTTGGTGTGGTGCTTAGGACACTGCACAAAGGCTGAGCATGGTTACAGCATTCGCAAACTCCAATGGCAGCCAGGGTAAGATGGCTGGGTTTTGTGACTCCATGTCCCTTGGCACCCATGCAGTGCACCCAGCTCTACCAGCCTGTCTTATGGGTCTTGAGAGGCTGTGAATGATGCACAGGGGCTCAGACAGTCAGCACCCACAAACATGATCTGGGGACTTGAAGTTTATTCACTTCACAAAAATGAAGCTTTCAATATTTCATTAGGATGTCTTGCATCTGTTAAACATCATCCCAGAGAGTTTGGTGACACTTACAATGAAGATGTGAAGAGATGTATTTGTTTTAGATGTAATTGGACAGCTGTTTTATTATGAACTAATGAACTGTGATGAATAAAAAGAATCCAGTTTTAGCAAACCATGTATTAACAAGTTCTCCTGACTGAAATCACAACTAAGGAAATGCTAGACAACTTTCATGACAATGACTGGAAGAAGAAGATGAAAAACTAGTGAGGTGCAACAGGGCAAGAGTTGCTCCCCATGTCAGGCATGGGTTCCCCACACTGCCATGCAGCAACCAGACCATTCCATGTGCCCATGCTACTGCTCCGCATCACTGCCATCTCCTCTGGCCCAAAGACCCTTTTGGCCCAAATCAGCCTTCAGGGTCTGCTCACACTCCTCCATCTTCCCACCCCCTCTTCATTTTCATGTCCCTCCTCTGCCCCAGCCCTGGGACCCCGCGAGGGGCTGGGGAGGCAGAGGTAACAGCGATGGCAGTAGGCTCAGAGGTAGGAATAATTGACCTCTTTGTACTTGCAAAACATATTTCAGACTCCTTTTCCCCCTGCCCTGGTCACTTTGGCCAAGGCTATTTGCCCTAGAGACATTGCACAGAACAGGATGCTCTCCAGCACAGGGCCACGTCCTTCCTGGCCACATGGAGACAGCCCCACAGCCACACTGAGCATCAGCAGCACCACAAAAAGCTGATCCTGAGCTGGGGAGCCCGTATCCGTCCATCCCACACATTCCAGTTCAGAAGAGATTTCTGTATTTCAGCAGAACCCCATGCCAAAGACCAGAGGCCACAGAAAGAAGCTGTTGGAGTTTCCATAGGAGTTTCCCAGTTTGTATGGAGCAGGGAGCAGTTTTTAAGCAGTGAAATCATTGCCCTGAGAGTTTCAGTGAAAAAGCCCCAAAGAGTTAAATGAAGACAGGTACACATGCCATGTGTGCAAATCACTTATCTCCTGCTGCTAAAATAAATCTGTTCCCAATCATTGTGGCTTTGCAATAGCTGCCTCTTCATCTTTCTCCTCTTCAGCTCTCCATTTGGCCTTCTTTTCTATGTTCATCCTCAGCAGCGTGTGATCCTTTTTAGCAGCCTTGAAAAGAAATCATGAAAATCATTGCACACAGACATTTCCCACCACTAAATTTCCCCATATCTGCACCACTTGCTTTGACACCTCACTGTTCGATGTTTTGCAGTGACAGAAGATAATGTGTTTCCTTGTTTTACCAAATTTTCAGCATTTGCAGCTCTGATTAGAGGTGTAAATTGTTTACAGATGCACTGGGACATGTAAGTCAGGCTGGAGACCCTCCTTCCCCACCAGTGGGATGGGAAGCAGCAAGTGTCACAGGTCTTGGTGGCCACAGTGGCACGCAGGCAAGCCAGGCAGGACTGCAGGAGCTTCATGGCCCATGAATGCAGGGCAGGACCAGGTGACATCATTGATGTTATCTGAGCTACTCTACAACCAGCCTCTTGCTGAGATATCATCACACAGTGCATTGCACTGCAGGGATTCATGGCAAAGTGGGTCAGAAGGGGCACATTAACCAGCAAGTTGTGCTTCCCCATGCTGATCTTTCCTCTGGAGAATGGGGTGATACAGATCCTGTGCAAATATTGCTTGTATCGACCTATTCTCAAACATCTCTGCAACCCGGGTGCTCATTTACAAGGAGAGCATACATAGACCGTATGTTAAGTGGACCAGTTCACCCGGAAACAATACTCACTTCTTTGCCTCTGATTACCATGGCCAAACAGCCCAGCAAGGTCAATGCAATCATGATGTAGCAAACCTTTATCCTGACGCTGTTCCTTGCTGCGTCGAGGACTTCAGACCTGTAGAGGACAAAGCAGAGTTTCCATCCTGCAGCAGCATGTGTGAAACGAGATCGTGGGGAGCTAGGTAATGAATCCTCAAGTCTTTCAACAATTGCCTGTCAATGCTTTTCAGCCTTCTCTTCCTACAAGTGCTTAGAGGAGGACTCAAAAAATCAGCCTAAGGGGGAAAGATTTAGCCACCTTCCCACACAGGTGTGGTATTGCTACTCCCAATTGTTGTCAGTAACAACAGGAATAGCAAATCCCGTTCTTCTGCTTTCTTTTTTTTGCATATGAGAGATAACACCTGAAAAGTGACAAGAACAGGAAAGTCTTTCCATCGTCATAATGGAATTATGATGGGCCTGCCTTTGGCTGCTGCAGGGCACGGCATGGTGTGCTGCAGGGCACCACAAGACACTGGGGCCATGCCACCAGGGCCAGGCAATACCACCCTCAGTGGAATAAAAATGCATGCATGCCGTTTCGGCTAAGAGCAATGGATAGTTTTCACACAGCAAAGAGGCACAGCAAGTGGTGGTTGGGTCTGTGGTCACATCCCCATCCCAGCTGCACACGGTGCTTTGCAGCCAGGTCCCACTGCAGTGTAGCCTTCTGCCAGACAGCTGGCACCACCCCCACAAGCATCTGCCTGCAGCGGGAGGCTGAGCTGGGTTGGAGCAGACGACCGCACCATCCATGGGGAGTTGTCTTCCCAAGCAGCTGCACAGTCAGAGTGGGAAATCTCCACCAGCTTCCACGGGTGATTCACAGCGTTCATCCAACAACTCACGCTCGCAAGAGGCTGCAGCGTGGCAATGAGTTGTTCATGAAATCGTATCCAGCCATGGATTTGCTTACACCTGCAGGGGCAAGGCCAGCTGGAGGAGCCCCCAGGATGTCACAAGTCAGCCAGCATTAGGTCTCTGAAAATGGGCGACAAGCCTTTAACAAAATACCTCGACAAGGGGGTGAAACCTTAGCCCAGATGTGAGGAACGCGTTGGAGATGTCTGTCACCAAAGCTGTGTATAGCCCCAACTTCCTTTTGAAACGTATGCAGCATTATCAATTCCTAATCAATAAAAACTAGCAAAGCACAAAAAATTCTGAAGTGGATGATATTTCACCATGGTAACTTCCAAGTTACAAAGCCACTTCTCTTGCACAAGACTCTTCAGCTTAGTCTGAAATTTGTATCATCTAAACCAAGTGAATCCAGTTTACTTCACAGAGCCTGACAAAAAGTACATGGTCCCAAAAATTTGGATTTTTTTTGGACACAAGTAACAGCAGGCCTTGTCAGTGTGGAAGAGCGCTAATCCTCACCATGAGAGCACACTTTTGAGTAATGCAAACTAGGGTCTTATGTTGTATATTTACATCCAAAAACATCATTCAGGCAAAAATAATTTAATATCAGAAGAAAACAGGTCTACTTACGATATATGCTTGGGAATGTCCTCTTCCTTTTTAAAGCGTCCTGCCCATAATAACACCTTTTTATCAAAATTTGTAGGCCTTCTGTCATTTTTGAATGCATTGTAACCTGTAAGAGAATTTATTAAAGAAAACAATGAGCTAAGCTTAGAGAGAGGAAGAGGAAAAAAGCTGTTGTTATGGGGGAAAAGGATTGAAAGTTCAGAATGACACTATTCTATTCTGTGAGAGCCATATGTGCTTTCTAATGTCAAAAGGACTCAGCAGCTGGTGTGAGGAGCTTTGTTACATTAGCAGCTTATTTCATTTTGCTTCACTTTCTTTTTCCTTTAGTTTAAGTACGTTTAAAACCAAAAATCTCTTCTGATCTTCCTGATTCAGGAGAGAAAGGATGCGGCGCTGAAGCCACCCAAGCCTGCAGCATGCTCTCACCCTGCTAGCATCTTGCTTTCAAACGGCCCGACTCATGAGTTAAGCAAACTGCCAGCAGCACTAATAACTCCTCAAGAACATCTCCTTCTAAAAGCGCTGATGGAAAGATGAGGTCTGTTAAAATACAGCCTGGTGGGAGGCTGGCAGTCATTCTCATGCAAGCTGGGTACTGCATTACTGTACTCTAATGATGATACATTACACCCCACCAGACTACCACGGTGATGCCATTAGCATGCTGTACCATGAGCACAGTGAGAAAGGGACTCTGGCTCCTCTTGATGGAAACAAACCCAGTGACAGCCCACAACAAGGGCAGTGGCAGGGAGACCCTGCAAAAACAAGGCAAGCAATGACTAGCTCAAATCCCGGCTTTTGCGTTGCACACCTGTACAGATGGTCATCGTGAGGTAGCTGAGACAGCTCACACACCCGGGTAGATGTACCCAAGATCCTAGGCTATGGTGCAGGACTGGTGTTTACAAATGCCCTGTGGGTAACTAGGGCATGCAGAAAGGGACGGACGTGAGGAGTCTCAGTGTCCCGCACTCCCTGGCTGCTGCAGGATTGCTGGTGCTTGGCTGCAAGGAAATCACTGCCATTGCAGAACAGGGCACAAGAAGGATCTCTTCCTGCCTGTGTTGAGATGGTGAAATGACACTAAGTGCCTTGGTTCCAGGCCTGCTCATGCATGCCAGCACATGTGAACAGCTGAAAAATCCCAGGTGTAAATCTTAGCACCCAGATCCCCAGGTAAATTTAATCTCCTGCTTCTCCTATTTCTCTTACGGAGTGCTGGTGAGATCAGGACAGGTACACCTGAAATATCAGCAAGTGTCTGAATGAGATCTGCAGCAAGCAGTAGGATGGATCACTAAAAGGACAAGCTCCATCCCAGGAAAGACAAGGGCAAAGCCCCGTGCTGGAGACACACAGCTGTTGCACAGGAGCACAGGCAGACCCGTGTGCCCAGCTTCGCTAGCCTGAGTCATCTGCAAAGGCACAACCAAGGAGGGGGTGGTACAGATTAAAAAGAGAAACTATCTCCGTGCCAGGGAGCTTGCCCATGTGGGAGCAGACCATGCCTGCTGCCTGCCAGCTAAGCCAGGGCACTGCCTGACACAAGCACGCACAGCTGGGGTGCAATCACAGACTGCTTTGGGTTGGAAGGGACTTTTAGCGGCCATCTAGCCCAACCCCCCTGCAGTGAGCAGGGGCATCTTCAACTAGACCAGGTTGCTCAGAGCCCTGTCCAACCTGGCCTTGAATGTTTCCAGGGATGGGGCCCCCCCTGCCTCTCTGGGCAACCTCCAGTGTTTCACCACCCTCATTATAAAAAATTTCTTTCTTATGGCTAGTCTAAATCTACCCTCCCTTAGTTTAAAGCCATTACTCCTTGTCCTGTCGCAACAAGCCCTGCTGAAAAGATTTTCCCCACCTTTCCTATAGGCCCTCTTCAGGTACTGAAAGGCTGCTCTAAGGTCTCCCCACAGCCTTCTCTTCTCAAGGCTGAACAGCCCCAACTCTCTCAGCCTTTCCTCATAGCAGAGGTGCTCCAGCTTTCGGATCATCTTTGTGGCCTCCTCTGGACCTGCTCCAACAGCTCCATGTCCTGCATGATGCTATGCTGTGCCTCCGACCTACTGGCCAGGATTCTTTTGATGCAGCCCAGGATATGGTGGTTTTTCTGGGCTGTGAGTGCACACTGCCTGCTCACGTCTTGCTTTTCATCCACCAGTACCCCCAAGTCCTTCTCGGCAGGGCTGCTCTCAATCCCTTAATCTGGCAGGGAGCGCCGGGGGGAGCAGAGGGGTGCGTGTTTGCCACTTGCACCAGCCCTGCACATGAAGGGACGTGCACCGGCTCCCCTCTGGAAACCTGGCAGCTGGGCAGGAAGAGGAACATTTATTAATTTATTTTTAATTAACAGGTTCCATGACGTGAAGTATTAGTTTGCATTTGCTGCCATAAGAGGAGGACTATTTAACACAAAAAAACTATCCCTGTGCACTGTGCTGGTCAGAGCTCTCAGTTTGTTCCGTGTCTCAGGAGCATTTGTAACCCCAGGAGATGCAGCACTGTAGTGACACAGCCACAGATGAGAGCAAGGGTCATTTTCTCACCCTTCCCCTCAAATACCCTTTCCCGTCACGCTGCAGCACAAACCAGTGAGCAAAGCCTTTCTACCTACCTGGATTAGCTGTCTGCAAAGGCTCGTCCTGAGCACCCTTCGCTTTGCTGCTGCTGGCTCTGGCAGGGTGTGGGATCGGCCGAGCTGCCCACCGCCATGGCCCGGGGCTGCGCCCCAGCAGCCTCCCCAGCATCCTGCCCTGGCTGGCACTGGGCCACTGCCTCCCCACTGGCCTGGGAGCACACAGGGGACCGACAGGAGCCCAGAAGGCTGCTTCTAGGAGTTATCAGCATAAAACTACCACTTCCTGTTAGAAGGGAGTAGCACGCATTTCCACCCTGGCTGCCAAGACATTTTGCTTATGTCACGATGACTAGTTAAATTTATCGCCTGCGTTTACCAAAATGACACACCTTCCGAGCTACGCAGGCAGAGATCACCGCTGCGGCAGCTCACGCCCAGCCCGGGCTCTGCCCCAGGCTCTCCATCCCAAGGAGCTGCTCAGGAGAGCAACGGGTATTTACATTATTTTCTCAATCCTTACTATGGTAGGACTAAAATAGGACAGCGTCCTGTATTTCCCCAAAGACAGGCTTAGTGACTGCTTATTATCTCAGCCAGTTAAGCAGTTAGAGTTCTTAATTGTTCTTAGCTAAAAAATAATCTTGCAAATTAGTCAAGTTAAACAGACTTTTTGAAAAGGAGCAGCGTTTTCCCTATCTCAGATCAAATGTGGTTTGGCTGAAGGCAACTACAGCTGATGTTTGTAGCCATAAATGCAAATGGGGAGTCTACCTCACACCCAGATTGCAAACTTTCCTGGCAAAGACATCTATTTCAGATATATTTCAGGTTTAAATCAGTAAACTAAGAAATTATGTCAAAAACCTCAGATGATTTGTCAGTCAGTAAAATTGTCATTGAAATGTAGCAGTACCTATATAGTATTTGCCCTCTTTGAATTCCACCTCCATGAAGTCTGGGTAGTGCTGGATATTTTCCATGACATCAGCTGTTCTAACCAGAGACTGAACGAAAAACAATGCTATTTTATCACTTTGACATTTCTCCTGCATTTTGCACAAGATTCTCCTGATGGGTCAGGAAATGCAAAATACTTGTCTCTTTTGGAGCAGTGGGGTATTTACTCTCCTTAGACATACAAGGCTCTAAAGCTGATTTACATCTAGAGAAAAAAAATCCTGTTTGAAAGGGAACAAGCGGTTGCTGAAAGGAAAAATTTCACAACTATTTAGTAATACTATCAAATGGAATATTGCAGATAATCAAAGTGTGTCTAAGAGCAAGGGGAGGAACTGCAAGGGAATAGAGCTCGGGATGTAGGCAAGGACATTCTTTAAGGACTGAGGGGATGAAAGATGCAAGACATATGTGAGACAGCTACCTGGTTCCTGGCCTCAAGGAAAAATTCTACCATTTATAGAGATGTTTTATATTTTTTGAGAACATGAAGTTATTGGTACTGAGGAAAGAAGAAACTCACAGCAATGAGAAATGTGGTTTTTCCTCTTTCATGAAACCTCCGCAATGCATCTGGACATGACACAATGTGTTTAACTTAATTTGCTTATAATTTGGCAAAGCAAATTAGATCCATTACCAGATTAGGAACCATACAGAAAATAAATGGTAGTTTGAGCTTCCAGCTGCAAACGAGACCTGCAAACAAGCAGAAATCAGTGGATGTACTTATGCTGGAAGAAACAGAAGGGAAACCTGGTAAAGTCACTGAGGATATTTGTGTCCTGCTCAGGATTTCCCTGGAGGGAAGATGAGCACGAGGAGGAAAGGTGTATTTATAACATGAAGTTTACAGGGCTCAGCACCCCTAAGCATCCCTGCAGGTCCCCTTCTCACCTTGCAGAAGAGCTGCCAAGTAGAAAAGAGGCGTTGTACACATGGACATCCCTCGCTGCCCAAGCCGGGCGGGCAGGCGGGGCTGGGGGGCCGTGGATGGGATGGGACGTGCTGCCGGGATGCTCACGTTGCACTTGGGGCTGCCCGACCCCACAGGGACTCCAGCTGTGCAGAGCATTTTCACTCTAACAGGCACTCTCCAAAACACTTACTGCAAAAGTTACTGTCTTTACGTTGTGTCCAACTATGCATTTGAACAGAAAAAGGAACATTTTTATTTTATCTCTTAATTTCTCAAACATGGAGAAAATCATGGGGTTTTCAGGCCTCCAGCGCTTATCCACCTAGGGGCTGCCAATTGTTGCTTCTAGAAGGCACACCAGCTAACAGCTGTATTAATCACATCTGCTGTGAGCAAAAAGGCACTTCAGGATTTATCATGCCAGCTTTTAGAAGTACAAAGACACAGAGGTCCTGAGGAAACCGCAAAGGCAGCTACTTGTTCCTGAATTTCACTCATTTCTCTGGCATCGTGAATGCTTAATGCCGGGGTGAGTTTTATTGCAGTGCATGAAAGCTAATAAAAATCTATATACACCACTGCGTTAAGAAATCAAGCTGTCCCTTGTGCACTGTGGATCGGCCTCTGGCCCAGACCATCTTGAATCCCTTCCTGAGCAGCAGAGAGGTGCAGCACGCTGTGGGATTAAGGTAGCCTTGTGTGCAGCCTGATGGCCTTCGTCCTCCCTAGACATGTTTTGTGCCAGCCGAGTACGTGTACACGCACATGCACATCCCCCCCTCCCCCGCCCAGGTTACAAAACCTCACCCATGAGGCTCATCCATTCACTCCCCTCACCAAGCCAGCACTTGATGCCCAGCAGTGACTCATTACCAGCATGCAACCATTATTTCACGACCATAAAGCTCACAGATAGGGACTTTATCGTGTAGCAGTAACAACTTGTTCAGAGATGCAGAATTGGCAAAATTAGGTTTAAAGCACCATCTTAATCTCCTCCCACATCCTTATGTCAGGAGGAGAGCAGGACCCCAGCTCCTCAGGAAGCCCTGGACAGTACAGATGACATCTCGCACACTAACTAGCTGTACAGATATCCCTCAGGTTTCCTCTAACCCTCGCTGCAAGGGGAAAGCACAGATCTGAAGCTTTTTGAGTTACAAAGGAGCAGGCTAGCTCAGAGAGAGTAGAGGATGGCTCGCAGCTGTGGTGGTGGAGCAGCAGACTCTTGACATTTCTGTTTTCTGTGCAAGTGATACGTAGTTGTAACACTTGCTGCTCACTGATGCTGACACTGAAGATGGAAAACTAAACACAAAACCTCACAGGACTCCATCCCGGTTCTGCATCACCTTCACACCCCTTCTGCCACC